GTCTCATATCTCTTTTGTCCCAGTCAAGTCTCTGCTCAACATCTAGAGCTTTAAAAAGGTTTTTTCTAGCATCCTGTATTGTCATTGTTGTCAGAGAGAAGTATCCAGCTCAGGACCCCCAAGACCAATTCTTAGCACAAAGGAGATTTATTTGCTCCAGAGCAACAAAGGACAGGGAATAAGAAACAAATACAGAGAGAGAATGAGAGACAGAGAATGAGAAAGAAGGGAACAAGGGGAAGAGGGCAGGGGTATTTGTTCTAGAGGACAAAGGTCTGCCTCTAGATAGAGAGGAGACAGAGGCGGTATGCAGGAAAATGGCAGCTCATAAAGGTACAAGGGGGAACGCCGTGATAGGATGAGGTGTTAAATTTTAATTGGGCATGTTGATGAAGTGAGCCAAAATGGGCTTTTGATTGCTGGACTAAAATACTTTGATAACTGGAACTTAGTAGTCAGCCTCAGGAGGAAGTAGCCAAATCAGGGAATGGACCTTGACGGGGGCTGGGGGAGGAGGGAGGAATAGCTTTAGGAATGCCATCTGACAGATTTTTAGCAAAGCAGAGGGGATGGGGGAGAAGGGCAAGGCCTGCCAGACTCATGCTTGAGCTGGCCAGAGTTCCTTCATCTATTATTATTATTAATTATTATTATTGTTGTTATTATTACCTTATTACTCCTTCACTCTCCTTCCTTACTCTTTTATTTCCTGTAGAACTGTCTGATAGTAAGAGACAAACTGACCACTTGCTTCTAGCACAGGAGGGAAATATCATAGAGACAGGACTTTGCTTCTTTTCATAAGCAGCGTTGTTTCTTTTATCGTTCATTGCTGGGCATCTAGCACAGCGCAGAGAAACAGGCACCCAGTGAATGGTAAATCTGCAAGAAAATCAATAAATCAAGAAACAGACGCGTGTGACATCAGCAAGGCTGGCAGTCGAAAGCCTTTGAATTCCTAAGACATTTATGATCCTGATAGATTTCAGGAAAGTTTTCAAGGTTGTCACATTTTTACTATTAATAGTTTTGTTTTTGAACTTGACATTAAAAGAACTAACTAAAAATTGATTACAAAGCTACATTTAAGAATAGTATCATATTTTTCTAGTGCTTTGTGAAATGATTGTTTTTTGTCTTCCACTCGAGTTGGAACAGTGTTCGGTTCAAAGGAAACGGACTTTGGAGTCAGCAAAACGTCTTTTTTAATCTTAACTCAGGGATTACCATGAGATTTCAACTCTTTGCACCTCAGTTTTACTGTCTGTAAAATGGAAGTAAGCATATTGCCCTTTGGCCTACCAGGCAAGAAAAATTGGCAAGTGCTGTTGCTATTGTTACTACTTCATATTTCATCCAACATCACTGAAAGGAGGGGCGAAGTCAATGTCAGCTCTTTTGAGGTAAACTGGGTAAACGCCAGGCTGGGAGAGATGTCTCGGCAGTCAGCACCGCTTGTTGCTCTCCCAGGGGATCTCAGTTCTGTTCCCAGCACCCACATGGGGACAGCTCACAACCACTTATAACTCCTGCCCTACAGGATCTGATGCCCTCTTCTGGCCTCCAGGGGTACTGCATGGACATGCCATACTCACGTAAAAGTGGAGGGCCCTGCTGGGCATAGGTGGAAGAAGAGAACCTTGACCTCATGAAGGCTGGAAGCCCCAGGGGGTGGGAATTTTGAGGGTGGGGAGGTGGGAGTGGGGGGGTGTAGATAGAGGTTACATCCACAGAGAAGAAGGAGGAGGGGCGAGGGGATTGGGGGTTCCGAGGGGGTGGTGGGGGATGGGGTAAGGGGACAACATAGGAAATGTAAATAAATCATCCAATAAAAAAAAAAAACACAAATTTTCTCTTCTGAAAAAAAAAAATCTTCAAAACACAAGAGACTCAGCAAATGTAGCAAGAGAGTGCCCATTGGCCATTAGGAGGAACAACAGATGACTGAATATAAAAGTCAAAACAAGCAAAAACCTACTCTGTTCATTTCTGTTCTCCAGGGTCACTTTCTCCGTTTAATCCTTTGGTTTAGAATGTTAGCTCACCAGCCACCTGAACATCAAAATCACCAGAAGGTTTGTTACAGTACAGGAATCCAAGCTTAACTCATAAAGAGAATAGTTTGCTTCACCTGAGCATGTAAGGCCCTAGGTGTTCTCAGTCAAGGTGAAGCAGTCGCTGATCCTCAAGGACAAGCCCCTGGCTTTCCTAATGCAGTGCTAATTCTGGGGCTTCTTCAGAGAACTGTTTTCAAAAAGGAACATGTTCCGCCCAGGCATAGTGACACATGATGGTAATCCTAACATTTAGGAGGCTGAGGTAGAGGTAAAAGAGTCATGAATTAGAGGCTAGCCTAAGCCACACAGTAAACTCCAGGCCAGCCTGGGTTTATGGCAAGACCACTTGAAAAGGGGGAGAAAGGAAGAAGAGGAGGAAGAAGAGGAGGAGGAGAAGGAGGAGGAGGAGGAGGAAGAGGAGAAGGAAGAGGAAGAAGAGGAGGAGGAAGAAGAGGAGGAAGAGAAGGAGGAAGAAGAACAACTACTGATCCCTGGTCCTCATCAGCCTCTAGGGAAGGGTAATGCACAGCTAAGGATGACTCTGTAGCTCCTTTACGTGTTGAAGAACGTGACTGGTGGGTGGATGAAGGGGACCTCAGAGGCTGGTTGGTGCTAAGTTAGCAGCTGCATGAATCCTATTGGTGGAATCTTACTAAGTCATACGCTCCCTAACTCCTAGGGCTTTATGCTTTTGGTTCAGTTTTGTGAAAAGCTCAACAGAACCACTTTGCCTCTAACCAGGAGTCACTGAAAGCCAGGCAAAGCTGTTGCTTTTCAGGTACACACTCGTTCTGCTGTTATGTCTGAAGGGCACAGGGAGGCGGGCCGAGGGCCGTACAAATAACAAAGTAGATATAGGATTGCTTTCGACTCCACCCATCCAGAGCAGCCACCATCCAGGAAATCCTGTTTGCCTTCATGGGAGGACCCTGAGCTAGTGAATTTACCAGAGGGAATAAACATGGTCACATGCCTTTTCAGGAAAAGGAATGTTCTGGAAGGCAGATGTAAATACTGTGCAGTTGTCCCGTTGGAAATATTTCTAGTGGGCACCATCATGTGTCTGGAGTTAGAATCACAGGAATGGAGATTAGCAGTCTCTCCAAGAAGCCTGCTTTCATCACAGAACATTTGAGTATCAAAGAGAAAACAGGAAACGTGAGGCACTGTCACTATGCTATAATAGACAGGACACCATATTAGACTTTACAAGTGACTTTGAAATCATAGTTTAGGTTAGTTTTGAAGCAAAGCCTTACAAATCCCAGACTAACCTCTGACTCACTATGTAGTTGAAGCAGGCCTCAAACTCACTATCCTCCTGCCTCCAGCTCCCAAGTGGCAGGATGACAGTCACATGTCCCCACATTCGGCTTAAACTATTTTATTTTACTTGTATAAGGATGAAACTATACCATCAAATACAACCCTAAAATACCTCCACAGACTTAAAAAAAAAAAACTTGAGTTCACTGCAGCAAACAGAATGACATCAAAAAGAAATAATTTCCAACAAGGTTCTATTAATTAAGACTAATGTTTATACCCCAAGGGAATATATATTCTAGCTTCCAGCAATAGATATTTAACCACTTGAGTTTTCTATTCTGAATATTCTCAATGTTTCCCAGTAATGGCCCTTGGGATGGTTAAAATGAATCTTACAGTTTCATGGGTAAATAATTGTCTTTATGAAGAAAACAGAATTGTAACTATGTGTTAAAATACAGACCTCGCTTTCAGATTTCACTTAGCATTTAAAGGAATGGTTCTGAAAGTATCCATTTTTCTTTACCTATTTAAAAATATTCTCAATACCTCTGTGTAAAAAAGAAAATCTTACCCTTCAAACTTTTTTTTTATGAGGTAGGAACTGAGACCACCCCTTGAGTCACAATTGTGTATTCCAATTGTATTTTCTAGCCGGGACAAGAGCAATGATTAGGCCAGTGACAGAGAAGTTAATGTATTACTAGGCTTAGGGGATGGGCTTAGTAAGAAATGAGTAGACAAATGTTTGTACATGGTGAGCGCCAAGAAAGATGGTAAAGTCACCAGAAGGGAAGGAATCAGTTCCTGTCCCAGGAGAAAAAAAATGGAGGTCAAGACATGATGTGATATAAGAAACTGGGAGACAAACATTCTAAGGCTAGGTATAATCATATCTATAGGCTGGCTTGCTGTCTCTCTGTGTCTCTGTCTCTGTATCTCTATCTCTGTATCTCTGTGTCTCTCTCTGTCTCTCTGTGTCTCTGTGTCTGTCTCTCTGTCTCTCTTTGTGTGTGTGTGTGTGTGTGTGTGTGTGTGTGTGTGTGTGTGTGTGTGTGTTTGGAGCAGATTTATTTCGAGAGTTGGCATTCAACTGCCTGGAGACAAGTTGGAAAAGCAATGAAGAACTAGGATTTTTTTATTTTCCATTTCAAGTCTCCAAATTTTGATGACCATTGCTTGAGTCCTAGACACCAGAGATCTGAAGCAACAGTAAAGAATGCACATACTGGATGCCTGTGTACAATCTAAGGCCAAAGGAAATTAACTCTGTATGTGTGTGTGTTATTCAGGAAGGATTTCAAGCATGCATGCATGCATGTCTGTTCAGCTCTTAGACTGTATGCAAACCAACTACACAATGTTATAAAGACAGCACCTCACTCCTCTGGGTGGAGATCAGAACTCTTATTGACTGCAGTGACCAGAGAGCCTTCCTTCCAGATACTTCTATTAGTCTTGCTGTAATCACAGTTTGCTCTTCACATACAACCTTTGGCCTCGGACATCAAGGTTGAGGGTAGGAGTTAGGAGACGTCACTAAATATTTCATTTTCTCTAAAAGGACTCACTCTGATGGACTGGCATGTCCAGTATCTACTTTGCTGCAGACCCCACCAGGGTCTCTCTCCTGCCTCCCCAAACACTCATGGTCTTCATGAACTCTCCTTTCAGTTGCAGTGGGTGGTCCTGTGGCAGAAGAATACTCGGTGGATATTGAGATCAGTTTTGAAAATGTCTCCTTCCTGGAGTCCGTCAAAGCTCACTTGAACAGCCTCAGTTTTCCGATTCAAGGGAACGGCACTGACATTTTGAGCATGGCAATGACTACAGGTGAGTGGACCCTCATTGCTTGAGGGTGCATGAGTGAGACTATCAGGAGAAAGGCAGACAACCTGCTTGTCAATCAAACTAAACATGGGAGGCAAGCAAAATGACCCAACCGGAACACTGTGACTTTATGACCCCATACCTCCTGAGTGAACTCGCCATAAATTCCTCAGCCAGTCACCCTACTTTAAATGATGAACAAAGATTTACTGGACGGTTATCACAAAGTGATAAACAAGACACTGGCAAACACTTCCTGACAAGTTACTGGATCCTTTCCCTCTGAACAGTGCGTGGGTGCATCTCAGTGTGTTATGAGCAGCCACTTCTTTCCTTTGGGGTGTTGTATGTCAGGAAATAGGAACCAGGCATGTACCTAAGTCAGAAGCAATACAGTAGGCAAAGTTCTCCCAGGTCGTGCTTTGCCTTCGAGTGTGAGAACCCCCTACTGAAACTAAACATTCCTCCTTTGTCTCAGGGTACCATCCCCATAGATGAGGCTGCCCTTTGTCCTATAAAAGTTCTGCAGATTGGAAAGCACCACTGTAACTAGGTTGTCCCTCCTATTACAGAAACAACTGTTTGGCGGCTTTGCTTTGAGTAGCAGCATGCTACGGATCCCCATCTGCAGATTAGTCTCTTTGGTCCAATGTGAGAAACTGATTCAAGGGTCTCTGTTTGCAGAGCCTTCTTTTCTTTTCTTTTCTTTTCTTTTCTTTTCTTTTCTTTTCTTTTCTTTTCTTTTCTTTTTTCTTCTCTTCTCTTTTCCTTTATTTTCTTTTCCTCTTTTCTTTTTTTTATTTACAATGACCCCAGTAAGATTAGGGTCCATTTGGACTTTTCTTTTTGACTTGAAATGTACAGGCTATTTATTTGCATTCTGTATTTATGATTTATTTCCATGTATCAAATCTCTCTTAGCACTATTGAACAACAGACATGAAGTATCTGAAAGTTTCTGGGGGTCTGGAGTCTTGTAGTAGCAGCCTAGGTAGGTGGTTCTAGCTTAGTAACTTTGATCTGAAGGCTCTAATGGGCTGAAAAAGTCATTTTCAAGTTCACCAGGTGGTTTTTTGAAGACTACTGTTCTTAAGTAGTTATTGTTTAGAGCCCTTAATTCCTTACCATGTGAGTCTCTTCCTGACAGATTTTTGTACCAGGCAACCATTTTCCCAGAGGAAAAGAGAGGAAGGGAAGGAGAAATGAGAGAAGGATAAAGGAAGAGCGAGATAGATGATAGATGATCAATAGATAGATAGATAGATAGATAGATAGATAGATAGATCAAGAGAATATATGCTAATTGGTACCATCATTTTTACCATGTTCTATAAGAAGGCACCACAAAAGGCTGTGAATTCCTAGAGCCAGAAATGTTCAATGATCTCTCTGTGTGTGGTTCTCAACCTTCCTAGTGGTGCAACCCTTTCACACAGTTCCTCATGTAGTGGTGACCCTCAACCATACCATTATTTTCATTGCTACTTCATAAGTGTAAATTTGCTGCAGTTATGAATCATAACATGAATATATTTTGGAGACAGCAGTTTGGCAATGGGGTTGTGACCCACTGGGTGAGAACCATTGCACTGCTCTGTGTCAAGGAATGTGATCATAATGGACACCTAATTGCCATGTGACTTAATAGTCTGCAGCCGCTCAGCATCATCACCTTTCTCGTGACCTTATCTATGGCATGGTGATCCATATATGCTCCCCTGAATCTCATGCAATTCTACTGAACTTTCTAGAAGGCTGATGTGGAATTGAGCTAGGATTTCCTACCAGCCTAGATAATTGCAGTCTGCAAATGTAAGGGTTGTGACTACCTTGTCTTGCATTACTCTTTTGGGTGATGGCAGTCTGCACTCCTGCTGGAAGTGACCTTTTGTGCTTCTGCGAAAAAGGCTACCAATGGCCTGAGGAAAGGTGTCTCCACTCCCTCACTTGTCAAGAGCATGACAGTGCCCTGCCAGGTGGCTATTGCAGTTGTCTGAAAGGACTTCCTCCCCAGGGACCTTTCTGCCAGCTCCCAGAAGGTATGCAATTGTTCTTTACAGATTTGTTGAATGCGTTTTCAACTTTACCTCAAGCCAATTGTCTGTCTTGTCTATATTCAAACACCAGTGAGACATTTACATTCCCCTGTGTTTTTCAGCATACATTACCTTAAAAATCAGAGTCAGACTGAACATAGGATTTCAAGAAGACCTAAAGAACACATCCTCTGCCCTCTATAGGTCCTACAAGACTGATCTGGAAAGAGCGGTAGGTTTGGGCTACTGGAGTCTCTTACCCAAGAAACTTTTCAGGATTAATGGAGTCATTCCCATTCACAGTGGACAGTGTGCTTACGTGAGCATACCCTAGGTGTAAGGATTTGAAGTCATGCCAACCCACCTGAGGAGAATTAAGAAGTATTCAAGTTAAACAACATTCAGAGGACTAGAGTGTCACCTTGTCCTATCAGGAGGACATTTCCCTTGAGTAGAAATGATTCAGGTAACATTTGGTGGCATTCCTTCACTAGAAGCAATTCAGAGGCCTGGTCCAGAAGAGGTTGCTGGTTCAGGTCTGTTCTTCAGGTAGTTTTACATTCTCCTGTGTCGTGTAGCTCAGCATCTTCTGCCCAGTGAATGGTACTGACCCCTCAATAGCTAGGTTTTTCCTACACAGATAAGACTTCTAATATCACTGGACAGCCCACCTCAAGGCTGAGCTCAGAGATTTTCAGCCTGGAAGTCACTAGGTGTTCACTCCAGTGTCAGCCTGTTGTTACTAAGGTAAAAACAGAGATGCCTCTGCAAGTGTTAATTGTCTCCCAGATGCAGTGATACAATGCTTGATATTGAATTAAGGCAAGAGAAGTCTCCTGCCTAACCCAGTATGCCACACAAAAATAATGATTTTTTTCTCCATGGTGCCTTGATGGAATATTGATTCTACAGAGTCCTTGAATGACTGATTTACATCTCTGGCATATAATAATTCTACATAGCATACCAGTCACTAAATTATATACTTTTAAGGAACTATGGGATCATATAAGAGTCTCACCCAGGTACCAGGTTTACACGACATATTGTAGACTTCTTGGTGCTCTCATTTTTATTTCTGTGGCTATGATAAATCAACTCTGAAACAAAGGAATCTAAGTGAAGAAAGGGTTTGTTTTCCTTAAAATAGCAGGTCACAGTCTGCCATTTTGAGGAAGTAAAGGCAGAGACTCAAGCAGCTAAACATATCATAACCACAGTCAAAAATAGAGAGGAATGTGTTCATCTATACTGCCTGCTTCTTGCTGCTAGTTTTCATTTAGATTTCCCTTGTCTCATGTAGCTCTGGACCCTCTGCCTATAGGATGGTACTGCCCACAGTAGGCTAGGTCTTCCTCTATCAATTAACAATTAAGACAGTCCCTCACAGATATGCCCACAAACCAACACGGCCTGGGTATTCCTTCCATAGAGACTGTCTTTGTAGATGATTCTACTTTGTGGCAAGTGACATTTAAAGCTTGCTATGATACCCGGTAATATAACTTGAGTAGATCAGGAGTTCTTATGGTGTTTAGATTCAGAAGAACAATACAAACATGTCCTACTGGCAAATGAAACTGGCTTTACCAAAGTCACGCTGGTGTTAAGGTGGGGGACAAGTGGGATGGTGGCTGTGAGAGTATTCCTGATTCCTAACTCTCTGGCTCTGGTTCAGTAAGTAGCCCCAAGGGCTACCTCTGACACTCAGGAATAGGTTTCGGCTACTTACCTCAGAATACACATAAGTGTTATGTGTCTGGCAGACAGGGAGATTTCTAGAAAGATTCTTAAATGTCCTTGGAAGGTCTTTCTGAACGTGATCAGGTGTGATGTACAATCCTTGCATTTTACTTTCCTTTTCTCTTCCGCTTGGAGTTTGACACCACATTCTCCCTTCCCCACGGCCTCTCTACTCTTTCTCTTGCATTTTCCTGAGTGGCCTTTTTGTGCACTTAATCTATTGTGTTCTTCTCTAAAGACCGACACAAGTTGTTAGAAATCACTCCTTCAAAGCTCTACCAGTGCCACCACTAACCAAATAGATAAAATAAAGCCTTGCTCAAGTTGGCAAAGTGTACCTATAAATTGTTGGTATGTCTGACCAGTCTAATATCATTCTCTTGCTTTATTTTCCAGTTTCGAGCTGGTTACAAAACTTTACCAGGATTCAGATCGGTGACTGTGACACAGCTCACGTAAGAATGATGTAATTTTCTTGTTTTTCTATGAGAGCAGAAACCAGTACACCAGGGAACGAGGCAAAACATCCATGGGCTATCATGTAGGGTCCTTAGCAGAAGCAGCTTGACAGAGGTGAAAGCTATGACCACCAGAGCACGATGGTGAACCAGAAAAGGAAACACCGAGACGTGTTCCTACCCTTTTAGCAGTGAGGAAACACAAAGGTGTGTTCATCTCACGAATGAAAGACTTTTGCAAATAGAAATACATCTGTAGTTCTGAGAGTTTGAAATGTTAAAATAGAGTTGTACCAGACAGCAATGTTAAAGACATTACTAGAAGATTCTGATAGGCAGACAGGATCTCAGGATTTCCTGGCATACCATGAAGGACTCTGCAGGAGTCTGGAAACCTTGTGGTTTTCAGCTCATTGTTCTTTATATAGTCATTTTTCTATAGTCTATATGTTCTTTATATAGTCATTACTAGGCAAGTCTTACCTTGAGTGTCAGCTAACATTTAAAGACAGGCTTGTTTGAGTGATTCCTTGATGATAGAACTTAGTTGGCCTCTGCTACTTGGCTTTTTTGTGCAACAAACCCCAAGGATCTAGACTTTCCTAGATTAATTACTGCTTTACTGAACCAAGTGGTCTCTATGCAGCAAGGGCAGCGTGAAAGTGGACTACATAGTCCGGGTTACATCGGCACCACCGCCTGGATCAATTCATAAAGCCAATGAGCAAGTCATACAGAACCTCAACCAGACTTACAAAATGGACTACAGCTCCTTCCAAGGAATATCAAGCAGTAAGTGGAACCCATTACATTATCACACCCCACATGCCTTGTTCATTTGGGGTAGGCATGATGTGATGGTATTGCTTAAACTTAGGAAATATACCCCCAGAGATTCTTGTATATCTGTATATACTATTCACATGACCTAGGAAATAGAATCAGCCTAGATATCTACAAATAAGCAGATAATGAAATCTCAGTTATATGTATATATATATATATATATATATATATATATATATATATATATATAATAAAATTTTCTTAGTCTATCAAGAACAATAAAAATATGAAAATTCTAGGAAAATAGATGAATTTAGAAAACACTAAGCTGGGTGAACCAGACTCAGGAAGACAAAAATTGCACGTTCTCTGTCTCATATGTAGATCCTTACCTTTAATGTAAGAAGAGAGGAAGCTCCTGGGGATGGAGGGTGTGAAGGAGAAGTTGGGAAGAGACTCAACAACATAAGAAAATTCTTTTGAGTGCCAAAATGAGACAGGCAGTGGTGGCGCACGCCTTTAAACCCAGCACTCAGGAGGCAGAGGCAAGTAGATATCTGAGTTCAAGGCCAGCCTGGTCTACAGAGTGAGTTCCAGAACAGCCAGGACTACAAGAAGAAAACTTGCCTTGAATTAAACAAACAAGCAAAAAATGCCATAATGAAATCTAATACATTCTATACTAAAAAAAAAAAAAAAAGTGAGGCAGAAGACGAAGAGCCAGGAAATAATAGTGATAGTTCCTAGTACGGAGGTCTGGAGCTTTGTATGCCAACCCTCTCTTTTTGGCTAACATGACTGCAGCAGGAATGTCAGGCTGGGAACCAGGGGTTTGTACTAGAACCATGGGGCTTGTGATCGCCTATGTTCATATATTGAAAAGATCCACAAGTGTAAGGCTATCTCCGTGGGGAAACAGTAACAGCAGATGCTGATACTACACAGGGTTCTATTGTTGATTTAGAGAGCGGGTCTCAGAACATATCTGTACCACACTAGCCCTACAAAGACCTATCTGTACTTTACCAATGCCTCAAGCCTGGTTGGATCTGATGCATGGGGAGGCTTCCAATGTACTGCCCCAGGTCATTTAAAATAGTGGTGGAAAAATCCATGAGTTTAGATACTCCCTTCCATTTCACGGATGGAATTCAGGTATGGGCTCTGGTGCATCAATACGTGATGAGATCTTTGTTACTCAGAGAGTGGTTTAAGGGGAGCGTGTGGGCAAGACTGTAGCAGACAGATGCTAAAAAGAACCCTCAAGAAGCCTCGAGGCAAAGCCTGCAGACCCCCATGGTTTGCACCATTGATGTGTAATCCTCCAACTTTTTCTTTGAATTTCTAGATGAAACAAAGTTCACTGTGACACCAGAGTTCATCTTTGAAGGAGACAATGTAACTCTGGAGTGTGAGACGGAATTCGTGACCTCCAACACGTCTTGGTACTACGGAGAAAAACGCTCTGACATCCAGAACAGTGACAGATTCTCCATTCACACCTCAGTCATTAACAATATAAGCCTGATCACCCGCCTCACCATCTACAACTTCACACAGCGTGATGCAGGTGGATTTCTGATCAGACTTGTGGGAAGAACGGAATGGTGTGCTTAGAGAAGCAGCCCACAGAACAGGGGTCGGGGGTGGGGAGGGGGTAAGCTGTTCACAAGAAGCCTGATGGCTCCTGTTCCAAAATGGAAAATCCATCCCACGGCATGCTTTCATATGCGTGTGTGTGTGTGTGTGTGTGTGTATGTATGTATGTAAGTATGTGTATATATGTGTGTGTATATGTGTGTGTATATATGTGTGTGAATGCACATGCATATGTATTTATATGTGTGTACGTATGCTTGTGTAAATGTGTATATTTCCATGTATATGTGTGTATGTGTATATGTAGATGTGTATGTATGTGTGTATATGTATGCGTGTATATGCATGTGTGTATGTATGTGTGTGTATGCATATGTTGCATGGGTATGTGTACATCTCCACAAGGAAGCCAGACTTCAGGGTACCTTTCTTTGTTGTTCCCATCTTGTTGTTTGAGGCAGGGTCTCTCACTGAATCCAGCACTGAACAGTCTGCCAGTCAATGAGATCTGAAGACTCGCCTGTCTCTGCCTCTCCAGCTGTAGAGTCACATATTCATGTTACCGTTTCCATCTTCTTCATGGGTTCTGGGGATCAGGAGACCACTGAGACATCTACCCTATGGCCCAGGACACCATTTTAAATGATGTTTAAAATGCAGTGGTTTGTTTTTTAATTTTATATAGTATGTAGTAATGGTTTTATGCTGTTTTATTCTGAACTACCTTACAAAATTTAGTTTGTTCAGATGAAATTGGCATATACCATACTGCACGTATTTTAAGTATACAACTTGTTAAGTTTTGACACATACTTGAAGAGGCATCACTAAACTTAAGGTGGAAATACATCCTGCCTCCTCGAATACTTCTTCCCCATAGCAATCCCTCTCTTTGGCCTTTTCCCACCCTCCTACCTACTCCAAGCAAGCAAGCAACAAAAAAAAAAAAACCCATAAATTTTAGTTCTTCAGAGATTAACAATGAGCCTGCCACATTCTAGTATTTATTAACCCCACTTAAGACCAGATATCAGGAGGACTAACTCTTCTCCTCCACATAAGAAAGAGGACTATAGGTACATGAGTCTGATCATACTTTTGCAGATTCCAATTTTACCACAGGGCTAAATAGCACGCCAGAATTATTCATGGTCCCTCAACTCTCCAAGATTTACCAATTTCACTTCCCCATGTGACTCCAAGAATTTCCCCCTTTTACCTTTTACCTTTTACCTTTTACCTTTTACCTTTTACCTTTTACCT